ATACCGTGTTGTAGGGACCCTACGAAAGGCTCCGAAAAATACAGAGTCGGATGTATGTATGCCAGTACTGTGTGGGTGTTGAAAAACGAGCTCTCGGGGCTGGTATAGGAAAATAAGATCACTTGACTTCGTTTACTTTCCTATTCCCTGTCGTTGTCCAATCTGTCGTACCTGGTAACCATGAGGGAAACAGTTATGAGATAGAAATTCTTAGATTAATCCCAATCTCAGACATGGAACTATTCATATTACGGCGGTCTATAGTGGGAAAAGCTAGGACACAAATCATTAGATGGTTGTCAGCCAACTCTCAGAAACTTTCAATGTCTAGCTCTTACTACGCTGGACCTCACGCTTTCCTTGGAAGACTTTCAGAAACACTTTGTATTAACCAAAGTGAAAAACCAGAACACAGATTGGCGACTCGAGAATCCTTTATTCTTACGCCAACATATAACCAACAATAATGTTATTACACAAGGTCTAGGAATAAATGTTATAACAATAAATCACGGTAATACCTCTGATAGTTTTTATTCTTCTTCTGGACAGCAAACGATGAGACGATGACTGCTGGATCTATGACTCCCGCGAAAAATATGGAGGAGTTGGGTTTGAGCAAACAACCATGAATTGATTGTTCAATCTTCAACTACATTGACAATGGCCAACATAATAAATGAAGGAAAATGTGATGAATTCAAAACACCTTTGGTAAACAAAGAGACGCAAGGCTTCTAGTTAAAACGGCGTGTTCTTTCCTGTCCAAAAATAAAAACCACAACCACCATGCGAAGTAGGGCTTATCGCATGCCATCATGAGCTTGGTCAGCAGGAGCACCCAGAGTTAGGAAAACAGATATAGTGTAGTCACAAATGGAGGTTCGAAAAAGCTACGCTAATGTCTCATCAAATATGAAGCAAAATGCCCGTTAAGTAATCGGTAATTCCATCAGGATAACCGAACAAATTATCGGTGGACAGCTTCTGCTGTCACAGAAAACTACTTTGAGGCTTGGATATTTATTTTTGAAGGCACAGAAGTGGGTAAGCGAGTTGGGGAAACATATTCAAACACACGGAAGAGCATTCATCATTCAGTAGGCAAAGAGAGCCCTACAATCCACAAAGAAGATATAGTCCCTACTTGGTTGATTGTCTCATCCTTTTGAATTCCTTAATCACTAAATACTCATGAGTGCCCAGAGCGTACTACGTTGTAGAGGCCATACACCAGCGTATTCAGCGGAAGTGACTTTTCTTTGAATGTGGGTTCCATAAACATATATTCCGGTGCCATATCTATTTCCATTAGGTGCAATCTTTTTCGAATGGCGGCTTTGGAATTGAGCTCGGAAACGGCTATGAAGTCAGCTGACGAATCGTTACCTTGAGTCCCCACAACACAAAGATGTCGAATATACACAGCACACCTACACGGAACATGTTGAGGTTGTTTACCTAGCATTTTACTGAGTAATTTATAACTGTCGCTCGTCAACCGATTTTATGGCCCGTCCCTCTTTTCGGAGCTCTTGTACAAGACTGTTGTCAGTTGCTTCGTAGCTTGTGCATCCTGTGTTACGCAGTTGCAACTGTAAGCAAGCTAATTTTGCTGTCAAGACTAGGTTCACCTGAAACCAGTCAGCAAGGCTTTCTCGATCCTCTCTCTTCAACCTACGCTAAGCCAACGATGTTCTGGGACTACTGCACAGAGTTTCGCACTTAAGGTCGTGCAGGGCATCTACACCACGGTATCATATGACTACTCAGATATTTTAATTAATTGAGAAACTTAGAAGGATGGAACAAGCAACCAAGTATAACCTATATCTTCTTCCCGATTTTTAGTGCTCCCTTCATCTATTGAATGATGAATGCCCCTCCATTTATATGACCAGGTATTCTTCGCTTCAATTACCACCTGACATACTTTTGGAAATAAAGTTTGATAAACACGATTGGTCTTAATTTTAAAAGTCGTCGGTCGGCAATTTGAGTGGTCGTTCTGAACCCATTTTTTATTAACATTTTACCTTATATTCCGTTACAGTTGGCTATAGTCCTTGCATCTGTTTTGTTTTCGGTGATCCTCGGCTTTGTTTGTTTCTGAAGTAAGTCGAGATTACTATTCATGTATACAATGGACAGATATGCCAGGACCAGCAATATAAGCAATGGATTCACCAATACATATTTCCAAACACCGTAAATGAAACTTTACATTAGGATTTTCTTGAATTTAGTAAGTGACATTTCTGTAGACCTCCCGTTCTCAATGCTAATGACATGATTATGTTTCCACTGGAGGATGACTTCTTGACATTTTACGCTCACCTGCCCTCAAGTTCAATACTATATTAGTGACTAGTGCACTCATTCGACTCGCTGATTGGAGAAGAGAACCACGTTCCGAAAACCACTGGGGTGATCGGAAGATGTTTCTGAAGAAATAAATAAGAGACGCTTCTTGAAATCTTTCCGCATGCCTCATACTTTTTCGACCACATCTGAGTGAATAAATTTCACGAAAAAGGAAAAGAACTAACTCAAATGATGGAAAACATGTTTTGACCATACACTCAGTACTTTGGAAAGTTCATAATGCGTGCTGCTGAGTGTGGATTGCTCTCAAATCTTTCTTCTTACATCCCTTGTTGTTCTGCTTTTCAGGTGTCTAACATCCACTTTTTCGTTCTTTATACTCTGTGGTTTCTAATCTGCCCTAGCAACAAAATTTTGATTGTCTTTTGATTTGGTTTTCCTTTATTACATGACACGGTCATTCGCTTCCATGAAGGCATCCATTGTTCCCTCAGGATAAGTAGCCTGTGGAGTCCACCTTCCAGTGGTGATTGATTTGCCGTTCGGCATATAAAAGTTCTAAACAGAAAATTCCAAGTAGACATTCTCCTAATAGTGTCTGAAATCAGTGGGCCTCCGAAATATCTGCCGAGTATAGGACGTGGTTCCATCGGACTAGGATTTAAGCATTTTTTCTTTTCACTAATTTTTAACCCTTTGTGATTTGACTTAATCTCTTCCCATTGTGCGAATGTGTGGTAGCTACTGCAAGGCAGTTAATGAATTTGTCTTATGTTGGCTGTTTTCGCAAGGCCAAATAAAAAACGGTGTGTCACCTGTTTTTCGTCATTGTATTGCCTGGTCAAGTTTGTCGCTCACAGCTTTGGGAGCACAAACTCCCCTGCGAGACTAAATGTAGTGTCAATCACCTCTTGTATGCTGAACTCCAAGCATCAGCTGGACAAACGAGTGTAACGATTGATCACACTGAAGGCTCATTAAGAAGGTGGACCCTCAAAACCCGACAGATTTATTTATATCTGTAACCACTACAAATACAGAGGGGACGAAGTTAAAGATATCATAGTCATTCACTTTGTTTTGAGGCAACCCGGACTGCTATCTTCATAGCAATTTACACATGTGCCCAAAACACACTGAAACATGTCGACAGAGACTCTAGTCGTTTAGTGGACATTTTTGGAAGGGTGGCTAAACTTTTCATTAGGTGCTATACACAGGATTTCTGTGGTTGTCCATACCCTTTTCGAATGAATCAGTTGAGGTTGCAGACACCACCTCTGGGAGTCGGTTCCAGGAGTTTATGACTCGGTGTGGAGAACAGTACTCAAAAACAATATGATTTCTTCTTGGCTTTTGAACTTTCCTGCTATGTCTTCTAAGGTTTTCGAACCTGGTGGGGAGGAAAAGAGAGAATAAGTCAGGTCCGCAGTCATCATTTAAAATTTCAAACACTGTGATTAAATCTCCCTTCTCCACACGGTATGACATGGAGAAGAGATTCAAACTGTCTAGTTTTTCCTCCTATGATAAGTTAGTCATGTCGAGAACCATACGTGTTGCCTTCCTTTGGACCCTTTCTAGAATTTGTGAATCCCCTTTATGACAGTGACTGGCTGCCTGGATGCAGTTTTCTAGCCTTGACCTCACCAGAGATGTATCTAAGGAGGTGAACATATCTCTGGTTATTCTTGTGAAGGCTCTGAGAATTGCTCATAAAAGTCGGAAACTACGTGCAGCCACAACACGATAGTGTGCTGTGATTTTTAAATGATGGCTTACCATGACACCTAAATCCAAATGAGTCTGAACTTATGGGAGTGTTAAGCTCTCTAGTTCATACGAGCTGACGCTTGTGAGTCCTGTCTGCACACTTGCGATTTCTTTACATTAGTTGGGAGCATCCATTATTTCGACCGCTCTGACAATTTGTTCAGGTTCTTGCGCATCTTGAGTGTATCACCGTTGCACTTCAGCCCTCTCCAAATTTTTACGTCATGTGAGTAGAGACCATAGGAGATTCGGTGAGCTTGGACAACTCGTTGATATACGAGATGAATAAGGCGGGAGGTGGGCGAGTATGGTGCCTTGTGGCACTCCGCTGCGCAATGCTGTCCAGGAGGAGAGTTTCGAGTTGATCGTAACCATCTGCCTCCTATCTATGAGGAATTCCCTCAGCCAGTTTAGTAGTCTGCCTTTGATACCAAGACTTTTCAGCTTCATGAGTAGTCTTTTGTGAGGAACATTACTGAAGGCTTTTCTGAAGTCTATGAAGACGACGTCAACAGGGGCTTCTGTTGTCCCTTGATTTGACCAAGCTTTCCCTTGCACTGAGGAAATTTGACAGGCATGGAATTAATCGTCGGCTGTCGTGGCCATTGGTCCAACAATCATTAGATTCAGGAAGGGGCCAGACAATCATCCAAAACCAAAAGGTCTGTTCACATCAGGTGAAGGGGTAGTTTAGGAACAGAATTTGTATTATGATCATTTATTTAATACTCTTTATGCCTTTCTACTTTACATATTCTTTGGGGCTTTAAATGTAACCTTCTATTTTCTCCCACAGTCGTTTTGCCAGCGGTAAGAGCTCTAATTCCTTCTATAATTAGAAAATAGATATTGGAATATAGAATGACGGCAATATACCATTGAAGGACGAACGTGTTTAATTTGATTGGCTGCCTGTGGAAGCGCAGTTGCTGCTCAAGGTCAACTGCTTTATAAAGGCGTGAGTAACTGACTGTTCATTATTTGAGGTAAGACCTTTCGTTGTTATCACCCTTTATGTGCATTACCGAAAACTGTCTTACAAATGTACTAAGGCATTCGAAATTTGACGGTAAAAGTCATTCTACGTTGTTCTGGTGTTATTGCAATAACACCAGAACATGTTCATTTTGCGACTGACCTTATATAACTTTACTTCGACTATTGTTTGTTTACCAACTCTGGAGAGTATACAGTGGTTAACAAGTAATGTTAGAAAAGCTTTAACTAGTGATCTTTGGTCCATTTTTACATAATTGATGTTTAAAAATACATTCCATTATAGATAAGATTTTATTTTGACAAATCAGTGTTATACAATAATATTAACTGATGACGTTTCGAGCATAGACAACTGCTCAGTCTGATTAGTCTATTCTTTTAGTTTTTCTGGGGGTTTTGTAGCACACTGTTATTATAGACCTTTTATAACTTTAAATCATGTGTCAGTATCAGAAGTAATATTTGCACATGTTACTTATTACACTAGTGCACCTCTGTGACTTATTAATGCAGAAAAAAGTAAGATGAGTTGTATTACAGCGCCACTAGGTACCTTACTAAAGCTTGTTCGTCCTTCAACACTCACTTATCGTAGCGGTTTATCCATCCTACAACTGTTCCGCGTAAATCGTTTATAACTGTTAGTTGGAAGGCGGTTTATTCTATAAGGAATCCATTAATTTACCTGGTGTTGTAACTGTTATCTCTTCTACCTCCAGATGTGATTGTGTATCGAAGCAACTGCTGTGAACTGTTTACTTTGTCCTATAAAAACTTCTTTTTTAAATATCCGGGGATTTAAATAAGTAGCGTTGACAAGTAGTCATGAAGCGTATGGAGAACAATGAATCTGAAAACCCTTAGCGTGGAATGTCGTCATATTTTAGGGTATTGATTATCTGTTGTCCCACATACCTTTACCTACGATAATATTCCTTGTAATCTTCTTAATTCCTAGCAAATGCTCCGCTAATCCAGATGCAGAAGAGAGCTTTGTTTCGTGTTGTCCAGTATTCCCAGGTTTTCCAATGGTTCTTTAACCAATGTCATCTCATGATGAAATCCTGTAACCAGTCAACCAAATCCCTACAAACCAATACTTGAATATTAATGAGATGCTCACCGGCGACTGGCCCTATTCAGGTAGGTAGTTACCTGGGGTTCTAGTGGAAAGTCGTGACCAGTAGGGTGCAGCAGGTCGGTTAGCGGTTGCGCTATATCGTGAATTGGCAAATGTGTATTTCTAGTGCGCCAATCCAGTTTTCCCTATATATATATATATATATATATATATATATATATATATATATATATATGCGGAAAAACATTTCCATTATTCTCACTATCGTTTGACCGTCCTCTTCATTCCCTAATCGTGGTTAACATTTCACTATATTTTGATTTTGCTGAAGGTTGTTACATTTCTTAATGAAAACAGAAGATGTCAAACAATGTGCTTTCAACTCGTGGTATCATACTTTCAAAAATTATACACAAGAAAGGTGTGTTGAATTAGTACTGCTGTGATGACCGCCTTCCTAGCATATTTGTTGACCTTCCAGAAGATCTTATAAACTCCCTCACAAATGATGAGTTTATGCTCCCCAAAAGGTGGGTTATCAATATTTGATTCAAAGTAAAAACCTCTTCACTGATTAGATACCCTATTTCTGATAATGGGCATTCCATTTTAATTACCATGTTAAATTATTCTTTGTGTCTGCCTTCAGGTTTTAGGACTTTTCAATACCACAAATATATGAGTTTAACGGCTATCACTGTACTTTTTCATATAAGTTGACTTTATTGAAGTTATTTTAAAAGCCTGCATCTATCATATCACTGCGGAAATAGATAAATAAAATTATCCCTGCTTTGATTAACTTAACAGGAAGTACAGCATAAATGCTAGTAGTGTACAGCCAGCGATGAAAGTACTGTAGGATCCATTTAGCAATAATACCACGTTGTCTGTTGAATACCTTATCCAACTTTTAGGTCATGTGCAACGCAACCGATATATACTAGTAGTCAGAATCGCTCTCATGCCAGGCAAATGGAGGCAACCTTATTGTCAGATGATTTTCTCGTCCTTACATAGGTTAATGTCAGCACTATACTCAAATTTAATTGGCTTGGTATGCTGAACTAGAACTGGTTACTTCTTTCTGGTTTGCAGCTGGCTTTCAACTACTTATATTATTAACTTTTAGTGTATGTGTGCCATGTTGTTTTTCTGCTGGCTCTTCATGTTGTTTGCAGTATCAAGTGCATCACATTATGATTTAGGTACATTGGTCTTCTACAAGTAACGATGGTAAAGATTTCACTTCCAAAATTTAAATGTTCTATTTGTTATTGCAGTATTCTGAATGTTTTTCCAAAGTGTGAAAACTTAAACTGATGCAATCCTAGGCCAAGTCCTACATCGATCTACCGGTTGCACTACAAATCATTTATAGCGTTCTAATTTTACTGTTCTCAATGAATCTTTTGTGTAATATTTTGTTCTTATCATTCTATGGGCTAGTTTAGGCACGCTTTTTCTTGTGAATTCAAGCAGTAATCTTCGAGGCGCCTCAGTAGTTGCTTAAGTCTTCCACATACCCATTGAATTAAAAATGTGTATACAACAGTTGTGGTGGTGGCACAGTGGTTAGGACTCTCGCTGACCATGCACATGGTCCGGGGTTCGAGCCCACGCCGGCGCACACCTGATATCTATGGTCGGCCTGCAAAATTTGGGCTACCTCTATCCATGCTGAAAATTCCATACTTGTACCAAAAATACAGTGTGGAATCAAGCTGTAAATCAAAAATTTAAAATATGCCATTGTGAATGATATCTTTTTGTCCTTGAAACGGACATATTTTAGTCTTTATTATCTATCTATCTGTCTTATTTTACAAACTTAATGTCACGTTTATTTATTTATTTATTATGTTTAGTGCGAAAGAAACAAGATATGCATCGGATTCAAGCGATGTAAGTAATGAGTAGTGTTTTAATAACTTAATTGACAAAACGAAATTTTATTTTATTTGTTTAAAAATATCAACCACCTACAATCACATCACAATTTTTCTAAATAAGTAGTACCATCATGTTGTACACAGAGAAGGTGCCACTAGTTAGTTTAATGCAGTAAGTCGATGCACCTGTGCTCTAGTTGATCCCGTTGTTTAAATTGTGAGATATTTAATGCTGTCCAGTTATATGACGTGTACCAGAACGTCAAAGAGATATAGCTTCATTCATTAGCAGTTCTTGGTTGGCACACCCAAAAGGTGATATCAAAACTGGTTTCAATCTGTCAAGTTTATCGCTTCGAATCATTGTGTACTCCAAGGTTATCACTGAGTTGACCAAAACGTTTATAGATAACAACAGTACTAAACTAACGCCTGCAGGATTGAAGTTGACTGGAGTAACTAAATATATATCATCAAGTGTTTAAGTATGCTAACACCCATTACACTCGAGTAGTGACCGCACCAAACAGCCCAATGCAAAGAATTCGAGAGTTCAAAAAAGCGACCAAATTGTAGAGTACCCTTAGTAATGGAACAAGTGCTGTCTGTCTATCTACCAAGAAACTTTTGACTAGACGATTATTATTATTATTGTTCCCTTGGGTTTCTAGTGGAACATAGGGCTTCAACTGAACGTCTCCACTTGCTTCTGTTTTCTACTGTACTCTCCACCTGCATCCATGTTAGTCCATACTGTTTCAACTGCTCTTCACACTATCTCCTCCATGTCAGCCTTGGACGTTCGCTCGCCGCTTCCCTTCCGGCCTGGTTCCACTCGAGCAATGGCCTGACGCGCGCGCGATGTCACCCGACGACCTCCTCAGCGAGTGTCCGATCGATCTCCACTATCTCCTGCGTATTTTTTGGGCGATTGGTTCTTGTTTTGTTTGTTCCCACAGTTTCTTGTTGGTGATTCTTTCCGGCCCGGCCATCTGATTTTCAGTATAGAGCGAAGACAGTTGTTGTTGATGAAGGTCTGCAACAGGCTGTTGGAAATATTTTTTGTGACCCTCCCGCCAAGTTTCTGATCCGTATAGAGAGAAGAACCGAATGACTAGACGTTTGTATTGAAAATCCGACCGAATTTTGTTGTTGATGCTGAGTGACGAAGATTTTCAGATTGGTTTCAGGTTGATGAATGTGTTTCTCGCCTTTCTGATTCTCGATTTGACATCCTCGTCCGTTCCTCCTGTAGTTGAGACAATGCTCCCTAGATCAGTGAGTGAATGAAGTAACCTCTTTCAAATCTCTCCCGTTGATGGTGATTAGCGCTGGATGTTGCTTCTGCTGTTGTTGTTGATGGTTATTTCCATAATCTCCGATTAGACGATTAGTTACCGGATAAAAGTTTTTCAGCCAACATCATTAGGCAAAGTTAATGTGTCTGTATAATGGCTACACTTTTATGCACCATAATAGGTGTCCATCCTTTTCACAAATTGTTACCATAGCCGCTCATGACTGAATATCTTTCAAACAGCAGTGGTAAAAGCAAGCCTGTAGCGTGATGCAAATTGACAGGAAGCGGCCAAATCTGAAATCAACATTTTTAAATAAATGTCTGCAGAGACAGAAGGGTTTAGTTCTCAAGTCTAGATTTAGCTCACGTTGTGGACATGGAATAACCTCACCGGGACAGTTAGTTTACCCTTTAGCCGGTTACCAACCAATCAGAACAGTTTATTTTCTTCTGATGTTGGCGAACTTTAATGTAGCTAAGAATGCATATAAATGTATGATGGTTTTTCTTTTCCTTAATAGAAGTCTGTTACCAAGTCTCTTATCTTCTCTGGATACAGTACTCCTTTCCCCTGGCTAATATACATTGAAGATGAGTTAGCTCGTCGAAATATAAGAAAATCAATACTGCATTAACACAATTACTTTCACGCATATATCCCACTCATTTAATTTATTAGCAATTCATATTTATCCTTATTTGTTCAGTGAACTGCACGGGTTGTAATTATGACTTGAGTAGTTGTTAAGGATGTATATTGCTTTGAAGCTTCATACTACACGGTAATATTTATGTGGTGCCATACATCTGATAAGCGAAACTCTTCAAGAGCTGATTCCATTATGAGTAAAATTTGTTTTGATAAAGTCTTACAGTGTTATACAGTAATGTTTACTGATGACAGCGTTTCGACCACAATTTATCACTGCTCATAATCATATCAAGACACTACTCACACAACTTTCTAACTTCGTTTATATAATTCCATTATTTTCCATCGCTTGACTTGATTGGAAGTAGTATTCTCAATATTTTTCTGGTATGAGTGATGAGTCATTCCTATTGCATGTGTTGAGTGTAGACTCGATGAACCAGGTAGGATTCAGTAATCAATCTCTCTCCACCTACCTAGATTACTTTTTAGAATTTTAACCCTCTCGCATCTTATTGTATGCTAATGCGTGCAGTGCAATGTAGTGATGAGCTTTTTTCTAAATTACTTATCTTCTCGGTGTCAAGCATTCTAATCATAGCTCAGTTCTTATGTTCTGACAGGCAATCTCACTAGTGAGTAGTACAACCGAAAAAACTAAATAATGAAATGAAACAGATAGAAGATGATTTGGTGTTAAATGACTAACTATCCTATGGAATTCATTAGGAAAATCATAAAATGTCAAAAGCAGAATAAAAATAATGGTGAAGGTAATGGTGATAACATAAACAAGAAAGAATATTGGGCATCTACTGTTATATCATATGAGGAAGGGACATCTGAGACCCTATGTAGGATTTTGAATAAAGCAGGAATTAGAGTGGCATTCGAACCTACAAACTCACTCAGGGACAAGCTCTGTAGGTTAAAGGACCCAGTTGACCCAATTAGACAAAACAATATAATTTACAGAATACGCTGCAGTGAATGTGAGGTCAACTCTGTGGGTCAAACTAGCGGATCGGGGGTAGTCAGATTGTCGGGACATAAGAATTTAGCTAAGGTAAGAATGGTTGACCCCGAGAAGATAAGTTATTTAGAAAAAAGCTCAGCAATTGCACTACATGCATTAACACACAACGATACAGTAGGGTAGGAGAGGATTAAAGTCCTAAGAAGTAATATAGACATATGGGGAGAAAGGTTAATTACTGAGCCTTTGTTCATCGAGTCTACACTCAACACATGCAATAGGAATGACTCATCACTCATACCAGAAAAATATGGAGAATACTACTTCCAATCAAGTCAAGCGATAGAAAATAATGGAATTATATAAACGAAGTTAGAAAGTTGTGTGAGTAGTGTCTTGATATGATTATGAGCAGTGATAAATTGTGGTCGAAACGCGGTTATCAGTAAACATTACTGTATAACACTGTAAGACTTTATCAAAACAAATTTTACTCATTGAATTATACTCTACCATCATCATCATCAGTCCGCTCCGTCCTCCTTTATGGTTGTGAGACCTGGCCACTCAGAGTGGAAGACATGAAAAGACTAGCTGTCTTTGATCAAAGATGCCTGCGCTCTATTTCCCGTGTAAAGTGGCATAATAAGGTGAGCAACATTGAGGTTAGGCGTCGAGTTCTACGTAAACAGGGGAAAGCAATCGACGAAGTCGTGAAGCTACAAAGACTCAGATGGTTAGGACATGTGTTACGTATGCCACGCCATCGCCTCCCTCGACGAGCAATGTTAGCGGATATAGGGTCAGGCTGGAAAAAAGCTAGCGGTGGTCAAACAAAAACTTGGCACGAGTCAATAAAATCCACAACAGTTGGTCTAAGCCACGTAGGAAGGTGTAGACTTCCAGGCTGGGGTCCTCGGGACAGTAAAAATCTATGGTTGGAAACAATTGGTGACATGGCTCAAAATCGTTCTCAGTGGCGCAGATGCATCCACTCCTTGTGACCTATGATCTCCAATGAAACTGTTCTGTTTTTCTTTATTACTCCTTTGTCTCACACCTCTGCTCACTGTTTCTATTATGCTTTTCTTGTACTTTCTTCTCTTGCTTCGCATGCTACACGGAGTGTGGCGACTTGAACTGGCGCACATTTGTGCAAAGTTCCATGTCGAAAACAGACAGACAGACTCTACCACAATGCACAAGTTTTATTCTAATATCTTCAATAGATAATCAAATCCCTACATCAAATATTCAATACAGTAATTTGGACACACTGTTTTATTTCACTTTCATATGTGTTTTTTATCATTTCAGGAGGACTGGTCAGACTGTGCTGACAGTAATGGTGATGTTTGCACAGAGGTAATCAGCAATCTAAACAATATATTGTGAGAAAAAAACCCAACGTATTTTTAGAGACCTGAATTTCCCCAGTTCGAATCTCATTTGAAAAATATCATCCAGAAGTTAGGCGGTGTTGTGTTTCCTAAATTAAATTGGAGCGCTCCGAGTGTAGGTGTTGTAATACCTTGTTAATCGTTTCCTTTTTCTATTTCAGGATGCATCTTGGATGTCATGTGATAATTCACTAAGGTGTAGAACATTTTCAGATATCTATTTACTCCTCAAATCATCAGATTTTGCTGCACATGACTTAACTGCTCCGTAAATGTGTAGATATGCGTAGAAATCTAATACGCAATCTTATATTATATTTTTTGTGTAGTTATGCTTTGTGTGCAGATACAACAGTTGAAGAAACCTGTTGCCTTTTCACTTCTAAACCGATTCTTGTTCTTCGCAAATGGTATGATTTTCGTCCGGAAGGGGAATTCCGATGTTTTGTGAAATCGAAAGTCCTTATAGGTAAGTAAGTTCTTCATTCAACTGTTAGCTTGTATGTATGTATGTCCCGTAGCGTGTGTGTGTGTGTGGTTCATTGATTTCGTTTAGTTAATAGAATAGTAGGCTTCTGGATTATGCGCCAGATTTATGGAGAACAAGAAGACAGGAATACACTGGATCGATAAGAAGAAGACTCTAGAGGATCTGAATTTCGTGGATGATTTGTCTGATGTCGCACAAACTGGAAGACTTGCAGGCAGGTGAAAACCAACAAAGTAGCAGGCTAAGCGGCAAAGAAAGGACTTCAAGTGTACACAGAGAAAACGGAGGTGATGTACATAATCAACAATAACGACAACAACTAGCATCAATTACACCATCAATGGGAGAAGGCTAAAAGTGGTTACTTCCTTCACCAATAACATAATGTATTCTTTCATATTGTTGCATGCAAGACAATTAAAGTCACAAATTTAATGCAGAAAAATTTTGAACAGAGAGAACACCAAAAGTAATTTCAGTTAATTTCTAGAAGTCTGATACTAAAATGAATCAGTGACTAATAAACACACCATGATACGAAAGTTCGAATTCTAAGCCAATAAAAGTGATCAATAGACACGTAAATTAACAACAACCAGTCATGACAGTGGTTGCCAGGAGAATACATCATTTATGAAGAATTCAAATAAGTTCATCTTATATTAAAATCTTCCGCGTCGGTGGCACAGCGGTAGAATGCTCACCAGCCATGCAGGTGGTTTGGAGTTCAACTCCCAGACGACGAGGCACTCCTTTACCTCGCTAAGCCAGTAATAAGCCTGGTAAAGAGGGAAGGTTGGGCAGAAGGCTACCAACCGCATCCCGTAAAAATAAACACCACTGCTACTGAAACTCCAAGCCTCTAGCTTGAATCCCCATGTTCCACTGGGAACGTTAAGGAATAAAAGATATTTATATCTATTAAAACCTGCGCTGAAGTGTAGGTAGAGGAGAATGATGTTCAGGAAGGCTTCGTGTGCTTTTGGAAATGTGTAGGCGGTTGTTACTTCCCGGCTGCCCACAACGTGGAAGTTGATTGATTCTCTGGGTACCTGAAACAGAAAGAGGATTAGTGTTGCGTGACTGCAGAGCCCAGGGGACAACTGCTTGAGCCAGGCCGGTCACACACGGCCTGTATGAACTGGTTTGGTTCCGTATGAGTAAACTTACCGCCGGTTACGGATCACCGTGAGGTAAGTCGGGATGTACAATTTTCGGGGTCTAGCTTTTCTAATCCCCTCTCTGCGGAGTAGAGAGATAGCATAGTTGGCATGCTGGTCATCTGGGGGAAACACCTTACCTGCTGTTATATCCCTGTTTCCCAAAAGTACGACTTTGCCCTCAGCCCCCCCAGCATAGTGTAAGAAGGATTCTTACACTAGGCCGGTAATGCTTTTAGTCTAATCGCTATCCTAACAACCTTCCTGGCATCGTAGGACCTGCAAGAACATTGGTTCCAGCCAGTGTAGCCTGTTGGGTCATCGCTATGTGCAAGCCCGACCACCACGTCAAGGTAGCAGCTATTGGGATGCTCTGAAAAGGGATGTTGTCCAGAAGGAGGACGAAAGCTTCGCAATTTAGACCAACAAGCTCAGATAACACAACTAATTTAATATCATCTATCTACGCTACAAATCTTCTCTATTATTTCAAACTCAATTTTATACTTTTCCACTTTTTCAGCTATATGTCAACGAAAATGCGACGCATACTTCAAGTCGATAGAAGAACACCAAGAAGAAATTAAGAAGGATCTTATAGAATTCTTTAATCGAAAAATTAAAAATCACTTCAAATTGGATAATTGTAAATTTCTCTTTTTTATTACTACAGTTATTTTAACCTATTGTAGACACAGTTGATCTATACAGGGAACAATCGGTATGTGCGTGTCTGTGTGTTGACCTACTCATTTGATTATAATCCTTGATTTCTCGTTGCTTATTACACTAGAAAAATGATCAAGTGCATATTGAAATAATCGATTTTAATGTATTCGGTCCACCAACTGATGCACTTCTATTCCAGTGGTCTGAATTTGAGGACGATATGCGTGAAAACGTGAGTTCGTGTAACTGATATGTCTTAGTTTTGTAGGAAATGTAACTGTGTCACTAAAGCACATTATCTGCTTATGTTGTTAAGCGAATTTCTAAGAAGAAATCTGAATTTTCATAGCGTTCTTATTAGTGATCACAATTCACTTGCTATTTCGTATCATTCATTTTACTTATGGTGACACATCATGATAGCCACTCCCTCGGTGTGTTCATAGTTGTCGTCTGGGTGACCGGAGTAGATTATTGACTCTCCCGTTGACAGTGTTGTCAATCCACATTCATTCCATTTACTTTCGTAGATACCCAGTACCTCTAAGCCATATCTTCGCTTCTCTTTGGCTGCCTGGGCAGTCTTCCCACTCTCGTACATTGTACGGACATTCCACGCATCCATCGAGGGAAGACACATCGGCTGGCTGACTGGCTTGCCGAAGGTTGGCTTTCACCAGCCCGCTATGTCATTTCTCCTCTTTGATTCGAGAGAAGAAGAAGATTGTTATTATTTGAAGTTTTTGCCATTTTTAATATATTTTCTGTGTGTTGAAGTTTCTCTACCGGTTTGAAAGATTTAGTGGTGTGGGGTTGCTAGCCCCACACGCCAAACCCCCTCCTCTTTACCCGAGCTTGGGACCGGCTAGAAAACTAGCGAGCTAGTTAACTATGCGAGACAACAAGAAACTATGCGAACAAACCAACAGGCGTGAGCCGATCGCTCAACAAATATGCAGGAGAAAGTGGAGATGGATCGGGCATACATTGAGGAGGAGGCCGCCGAACGGCATCGCATGCAATGCAAGCCATAGCTCGAATGGAATCCAAATGGGAAGCGACGAGTGGGTCGTCAATGCGACAGTGATATGGAGGAGATCGTGTGAGGAAGAGAAAAGAGGGTTTGGTCAATCGTGGAGGTAGCCAGCTGAAGAGGACGGCAGCATTATTTCTGGCTTAGTGAGGTAAAGGAGTGCGTCGGCCGGGTTCGGACCCCGGACCATGTTTATAGTCGGCGAGCGCCCTAACCGCTGTGCCACCGACGCAAAAGGAAGATCGGATGAAGTACACAATCCAAGGTATGCATTTCACATTCCTACCTAGTTTCAACTTTTGTACTATCAATGATAGTGGAATCATGTGAATGAGTCAGTTCGTGTACGTCGCGTCGGTGTCTAAAAGTGAAATTAACAACCTGACATTTGAAGGGAATTAAAGCTTAAGATCATTTGAGACAACGATGACTGACTGACTAATTTCTATTAAAAAGTTATTAACACATTTTGGAACAATCTAAATGATAAATAATAATAAATTGCATGGAGGATTTCATCATGAGGTGACATCGGTTAGAGGACCATTGGAAAACCTGGGAATACTGGATAGCTGTTTCGCCCTAGTTTGGGACTCTTCAGTCAACTTATGATGAAATCCTCAATACAATCAAACAAAATCCTTACGAAATCAGTACTTGAAAATTAATCTGCTCACTAGCAACTGGCCTTATTCAGGCAGTTAACCTGGGGTTCTAGTGGGAAGCCGTGACCAGTTGGGTACAACAGGTCGAAGATGAGGCAGTAACTCATCAAAGAAGACATTGTGAAATGGAGGCGCTATGTTGTGAATTGGCAGAAGTTATAATTCAAGAACCATTGAATCAGGTCCCAGTGGCTCAATGGACTACGAGCTCGCCTTGTAACCAGGAGGTCCTGGGTTCGAACCTCGGCGGGTGCGTACTTCTGAAGAGTCCCAAAATAGGACGGAGGAAACAGCTGTCCAGTACTCCCAGCTGGTTTTCCAGTAGTCCTCTAACTGATGTCAGCTCATGATGAAATCCTCCATGCAATCAAACAAAATCCTTATAAACCAATACTTGAAAATTATATAAGGAACATCCAAATTCTATATATTTTAAACGATTTCTCATTCATATTACTTCAATAGGATACCAGTCCTACATTTCGCTACCAAAATGACAAGACAATTCGTCCAAATACAACCAACCAATATAGTTTACCAATTGATCTAATCGATATTGCTTCCGGATCTGATCCCAATAAGATAATAGATTTCATTCAAGCTGTAAGTTTATAAATTATTTTATAGCTAATCGTGTGAAACATTTTTTGTATAACGGGCAACAACCAGGCGTAGTGCAATAAATCTGTTACTTAATAATTTACGGAGATCTGTCCCACTCAATATTGATCGGAGATGTACTTTCTGTTATGTGGCAAAGAAGTTGGCATTCCTGCGCGCTGATGATTAGGAAACGAATGTTTTGATAAATATTCCATTAAGTTTAATTTGTGGGTAGTGACTAGCAGTGGCGTCAAGAACAAGGCCATTTCGTCCTATTTAGGACTCGTCACTGGATGTACCTGCATTTCCCAGTGAGTGATGATGTTCCCACCGAGACTCGAACCCAGTGCTCTAGTTTCAAACGCCAAAGCGTTATCCACTAGATCACTTGGGCCACCAGAGACACCTCTTGTACAACGGATCATATAGTTTAATTAAATTTTAGATTTTCCCGTCGATTGATTGAACCGAAGTGCTCAGACATCCTCGAAGCATCTGCACAAGAAGCCGACATGTCAACCTGAGACCAAGCATTTCGGTCCAATCAATCGACGAGAAAATCTAAGATTAAATTCCATTAAGCTGTTTACTTTTAAATGGTTACAATTCGGAGACCAATCTGTGCATAAAATGATATGAAAACACTCCAGTTATTTTAATTGGTTACTAAGTAAGCAACTAGTACCGCACATCTAGTCCTTTGCTTGGTGAAGACTGAATTCTGTCGGTCAGGCTTGCACTGTGGCCACCACAATGTTTGGTGGCTGAAATCCCAAGAGGGATATGAATTCCTTTAAGTTTATAAATGCGCCTTGGTGACGAGTGTAAACAAAAGCACGAAACCTAAGTGTTGAAGGCTTCCCATCGATTACTCCCAACTATCTAACAATAACAATTCACAGTGCACTGTGGTGTGTTGAGCCAACTAGCATGGTTGACACTTTGCAAACTTCATTCTGCACCAAACAAAGCACTAGACATATGATACTAGTTAATAATTAGATGAGGTCGATCGTAGGCTGGAATAGCTGAGTGGTAACTACTGTAACTGCGTCACTAGGTGACGCGGGCTCGAGTCTCAGGAGGGACATGAATTCTTTCGTGATTGCAGGTGCGACACCTTGTTGACTGACTGGTGGTGAGTGCCAACAAGCACAAAACCTAGATTGGTCGGCTGTCGCCAGTCATCTTTTATAACACTTTGATCTAACAATAGTCCAATAATGTGGATACTAGTTTAGATTTAATTAATATAACTTTATGCTTAATTATATGCGAATGTAATCTAACACCCACTCACCCCGCAGATATTATTCGCAGCGACTTTTTTAACATACTTTTCATTTGAGTATACTACTGTGTAAATTCGCACAGAACACTTTCAAACTAACTTAGTGCTCTGACGAAGGTTACTTCGCTCCCTCCGAAGCACGCATAGTGCAAGTAGTAATTGTAGAAACCACTAGCAGTTGCTTCCTGATGCTCAGTGATGTGTGCAAAATAATAATACTAATAATAATGGTGCAGCTTAACAATCTGACTCATATATGTTCACCAGGCTATGAAACACTGAAGTCAAGTAAGCAGGAATACGTTTAATTTAATTCAAGCATCGTCACAAAGAGCTGACAGAAGCCGAACACTTCGGTCGAATCAATCGATGGGAAAAAGTTCAAACTAAATAATTAAATAATAACTGATACCTGTTGCAAAAGGCGATGGCTCTCCTGACCCAAGTGGTTATCTCCACGCTTTGACGTTTGAAACGATGAGTACTGGGGTGCAAGTGAGTCTCAATGGAAACACCATCACTGATACAGGTATAAAACTTGGGCACTGTCGTACAGTATAACTTCATTATGGATAAGATTTTATTTTGATAAGTCACACAGTGTTGTACAGTAATACTAACTGATGACGTTTCGAGCACAAACTAATGCCACTCATAATCATACCAAGTTACTCACACAAAACTTTTTTCCTTCATTTATGTACATGTGTGGAAGTGACTAGATATTTGAATAAAAATCAATATGGGAAGATGTACATTCAGAAATAATAATAATATGAGTGTTATTGATCAATGACAATCAGATGGGAAATAAGACGAGTGTTTTTATGATCAAAATAAATAAGTAACTTGTTAGAATGTTGTGATGTGTTTGGATTGAAATACAATGCAATTTGAGATTATTTATTATCCTCCTCTGATTTGACTGACTGACTGGTGGTAATACAATATCTTCCATGCATATCTCTAGTACTTGCATTGAGTCATTTCTGTTGCATGTGTTGGGTGTAGACTCAAAGAAACCAGGTAGGATTCAGTAATCAATCTCTCTCTCCATATAAAGAGGGGACATCTGAGACCCTACGTAGGATTCTTAATAAAGCAGGAATTAAGCTGGTGATATTCAAACTTACAGACTCACTCAGGTAAGACAAGCTCTGTAGGCTAAAAGACCCGGTGGACCTAATGAAACAAAATTATATAATTTACAAAATACCCGGCAATGACTGTGAGTTAAGTCAACTATATAGGTCAGACTAGTAGGTCGGGGGTAATCAGATTGTCGGAACATAAGAATTTAGTGGCTAAGGTAAGAATGGTTGATCCCACCCGAGAAGATAAGTAATTGAGAAAAAAGCTCACCACTGCATGCATTAACACACAACCACATAGTGGAGTGGGTGGGAGAGGGTTAAGATTCTAAGAAGTAATCTGTGTAGGTGGGGAGAGAGATTGATTACTGAATCCTACCTGGTTTCATTGAGTCTACACCCAACGCATGCAACAGAAATGACTCATTGCGAGTACCAGAGATATGCATGGAAGATATTATTACCGCCAGTCACTTCAGAAGAGGATAATAAATAATCTACAAATTATATTTCAATTCAAACACATCACAACATTCTAACAAGTTACTTATTTTAACTATAGAAACACTCGTTTTATTTCCAATCTGATTGTAATTGATCAATAACACCTATTTTTTTTATTACAGCTTGATTCCACACCGTATTAATAGTTCCGAATGTAGATTATCCTACATTGATTTTTATTCCAATATCTAATCGATTCCACACATGTATATAAATGAAGGAAAAAAGTTGTGTGAGTAGTGCCTTGATATGATTATGAGCAGTGACAGATTGTGCTCGAAACTTGGTCATTAGTCAATATCACTGCGTAACACTGTGTGACTTATCAAAACAAAATCCTATCCATAATGGTGTTAAACACCACCACTCATTGGGGAATGTAGGTACGTTCAGATGATGAGCAGCAAATGCGCACGCTGGATTTCACTGCTAGCCCCCATCCACCAAAATTACTTCCAGAATATGTTTCAACCTATGATGAGTTTCAATGATAATAGAATGTATATAGGCCAATGAACACTTTACTGTTGATAATGTAATTTGAATAAAAACTGGTACGTTCCATCTACCCCTACCAATATTACTGTTTGCTTGTGTGTTTTCGACATAGAACTTTGCACATATGTGCAGCAGTTCAAGTCGCCACACTCCATGTATCACACAAAACAAGAGAAGAAAGTAAGAGAAATGCATAATAGAGACAGTAAACAGAGGTGTGAGACAAAGGAATAGTAATATCGAAGAACAATATAGTTACTTTGGAAATTATAAGTCACAAGGAGTCGATGCATCTGCTACCAGTCATTGAGAACGATTTTGAGCCATATCACCAATTGTCTCCAATAGTGGTTTCTACCGTCCCGAGGACCCCAACCTAGTCAGGAAGTCTACACCTTCCTACGTGGCTAGCTTAAGCTAACTGTGGTAGATTTCACTGACTGATGCGCTGTTTTGGTTTGACTGCCGGTAGCTCTTTTCCAGCCTGACCCTATGTCAGCTAACATTGCCCGTCGAGGAAGGCGATGGCTAGTCTAGGCATGCGTAACACATGTCCTAACCATCTCAGTCGATGTAATTTCATAACCTTGTCGATTGATTTCCCCTCCCGCCTACCTAGCACTTGACCGACACCTGACCTCAATATTGCTCATCTTAATTATGCCACTTCACACGGGAGATAGAGCTCAGACACCTATGATCAAAGACAGCTAGCCAGACTTTTCATGTCTTCCACTCTCACTGGCCAGGCCTCACAGCCAGCCATAAATGAGGACGGAGCGGACTGATGAGTAGTACATCCGCCCTTTGGTCGATAGCCAGCCCCGGATATCACGTCTACGTCACAGACGGAGTAGACTGGACTGGCACATATGCGAAACTACCACTATTACGCATCTGATGATAGAGACTACTTGTTGGCCAGAACAACGAGACACCTTAAGCTGTATGTGTGTGTACATATTATTTTTAAGCAATCCTATACACCTTGAATAAAACTGTCTCCTGACATGTATGACACCCAAAAACAACACACAATATTAAGAAAACTTGTATGTCAGGAGCATATACATACATTTCATATTATGATGTTTAAGACACTTATAAATCTTTATTTTGGTTGTTTTTCATTTTCTTTTTTTTGACAGAAGGTTGAAAGCCAACGAAGTACATAATAAACTGTGTATATATACAACATGTGGGATTTCTTGTTATCAGAAATGCTGATTGATTAAGGAAAATATAATTTTTTCTACCAAGCTTATTTTTTCTTCTTAGCAGCAGTTGTAGTTGTCTTACGTGTTCGCTTTTTAGCAGACGACGATGCCATTGAGGCGTATTTCTCTGCAATCTTATCTAGAAAGTTCTCTGATGACTGCAACGCATTCGCGTGTCGACTTTGAATCGCCTTGGCTAGTGAATCTAAACCGCCGTCATCGTCATCATTACTCTTCTTGAGTTTCTTGCTGTTATTCTTCTTTTGTTGTTTTTCAAACAACTTTTTTTCGTTTAAAGCTCTCTTCGCCCTTTTCGCTGCTTTTTCTGGTGGTTCATGTGTATAATTCTTGAAAGCTTTAATTCTCTGTTCAGATATCAATTTGTCAATAAGACTTCGGATTCTCGGTTCATCCTCATAACTTGTCAGAATTAACGTTTCCATTATAGTATCCATATCGCCTTTAGAACTATTGTAAACTTTGATTAACTGTTCCGTTTCTTCTTCACTTCCCACATACTTTTGACGGTATTCATCAATCTGTGTAGGTGTTATTTTTGGAAATAAAAGTCGCCAATAATTCATCCAATCATCATATGATTTGCCTGAAATCTCATCTTCTTCATCGATTACACCTATTAAAATAAAAAGCGATAAAAAAATCAGCAGGGGGGGGTAACTAACCTGTTTCATCGTAGATTTTGCGTTTCTCATCATCATCTAAGTATGCGTAGATTCTAGACAATACTTGGAACTTTTGCGTTGCTTCCGATTTTGAGTCGTTCTCGTGCCGATCAGGATGGTGGACAAGAGATAATTTGTAGAAAGCTTTGCGAACTATAAAAATAAACAGGATGAACAGTATTAAAGCATGAAGTCAGTCTACTTACGTTCTGGTTTCGAACAGCCTTTAGCCACTTCTAAAACTTCATATAGATTCTTTGTGTGAAAGTATTTATTACAGTCTTTCAATAAACTTGACATCTGAATAGTTCTAAAAGTTTGGGAGAGAAAAAAGTATCAATATTTGTAAGGAATAAGTTGTTAATTCAACAACGCCGTTTTTATGGATCTATGATCTGATCTAAAGGTTATAAACCCTAGTTAGGATAGCAATACACAGGCGTTTTACTCATTATTCTTATCCGAATAGGCTTTGGTCCAATCTGATTTGTAAAAAACCCCATCCACCAAAGACGAAACTAGAAGTCATAGAGCCAGGTTAATCTGTTTAGACGACTGCCTCAATGAGGAGCTTAAGATTATTAGAGAATTACTTAGAAAAAAATGGTTATCCAGATAAATTCATTGAGAAAAATATGAATTCAGCACCTAGGAGAGTCAGTATGGCAACAGTTCCGAAAAAAAATGCAGTTCCTCGGTGACAACATCAGCGAAATAATAACACAGTGCCTGAAGAATGCAGTTAGAACTTATTGTGCAGCAGAGGTACACGTTGTCTCTTCACAACCACCCCTATTCTATGTTCGAGGAATGAGGATAAACTACCTACATTTGCCTCTTCTATGTGTATCTACCAGTTTGACCGCAGCTACATTGGGCGTACACTTAAGCAGGTTCATCATCGTACTTCCGAACATCATCCAACATAGTTAAGCAACGGACAAAATAGATCTATTCGTAGCTCTATTTTAGCACACGTTGTAGATAGTGAGTATAAGGTTGATGTTAATACTGCATTTAAAATTATTTATCGCATTCCTACTAATCTTAATTTTGCTCTACGAGTTCGTCTTCTACATACAGCTGAAGCAATAGGAATCCACCTGAAGAAGCCAAACCTGTTTGGGTTCAGAAGAAATTTGTACAGCCACTTTCCTTACCTTCCTTGGCCATCGTTACATGAATGCATAAACTGGACTACTTCGCCTCCCTCCCCCTAAACATTTAAAATTATAAAAATTATAACTGTTCAAATTATTTTAGTATTATTTATTTTGACCACTTCATTTTTAATCAAGTGTTATCCTTGTAAAATTAAATTAATTTATTCTAAGCATTTCTACCTTTTAAATGTGTATTGATTTTCTTCGTTAACTATCACCCCATTGACATTTTGACACTGACTAATTATTGTCAACAAACATATCAGTGCCACTTGATTGGTAAACTGTTGTGTATTGTAATAATGAAAATGCTGTACGTGTATATTAGAGTAGAGCCAGAGATGAGGATCTAATTGAAAAGTAAATATTTCTTCGCTCAATCTTTCTGTTTTCTAAATGGGGGTTGTTTCTATATTGAAGTAACTAGAAGTAACAATAAGACAAGCTTCTTATATAAAGTTTGTGCAGCCGTAGTTACACCTCTTGACAAATAGATTTTAAAGAGTTGGTCTGTAAGGATTAAATTTGTTTATACGAGTTTGACCACGGATTGATGTCAGTTAGAGACACATTGAAAACCAGTACTGGACAGCTGTTTCATCCTACTTTGGGAATCATCGGCAGTTCGAAAATTAATTTGATGCTCGCTAGTGACATGCCACAAGACGTTGTTTCCAGCAGTTCTAGTGAGAAGTCGTGACCAATGTGGTCCAAGCAATCGAGTGTGAGGATGGATTTCTCACTGATGACATTGGTTGGTGCCAGTCGCGCTAAATCACGAAGTGGTAGAAGTCAGAATTCATGGGCCACTGAGTTGGGTCCCAGTAGCTGAATGGTATACGAGCTTGCTATGTAACCGGAAGGTCTTGGGTTCGAACTCCCTGTGGTGGTTGCGTACTGCCGATGATTCCCAAACTAGAATGAAACAGGTGTCCAGTCCTCCTTGGATTCTAACGGTTCTCTAACCGATATCAATCCGTGATCAAACTTGTATAAACAAATAGATTTTTGTCAGTTTCATGGCAGTGATGACTACTTTTTTTGCCAATCCACCTATTCATTATGCTTACTCTGTAATTGAATGCGAACAAAACCAAAACCACCATAATTAAGTTATTGCTTTTAGTCTTTGGAGTGTATGTACAAAGACGTGAAATTAACACAGTGAACATAAAAAGGAATTCAAATAGAATAATAGTCGATATGCGCAATAGTAAGCAAGGCAGCAAGTACCACATCAATCGGGAACGGCTTCAGTAGGTTCTGTAATCAGATTAAACTAGACAGCTACAGATACAATCACTGTTTGACTTGCAAGCAAGGATACCAGCAGCTTTGAATTCCATCGTCCAGTTTAATTCAGCCTTCACATAAGTGTGTGTGTGTGTCTAAATGATTTCTAATAAACAAGTATTCAGGCTTCACTTCCTAGGTACACTATTTGTTTGTAAAAATACCAGATTTTTAACAAAAGGGATCACAGTTTCAAGTTACTTCCCAATAATCAAAGCTATGATGCCTGAGTGATATAATGTTCGCTTCTCATCACTTACTATGCTGCCCTTTCTCAGATTAGCAAATAAACGAAAATTCGTGCTGTCTAAGGACGGCTATGGGCTCGGCATCAAAGATGATAGTGAATAGTGGATCAGTTTTTTTGTATCCATTTGGAGACTGTCAGCAACCAGTTTATTTAAAATGATTCAAATTTTAAAACAGGTGACATGGTCAATACATTAGAATACTATTCGCCATCTTCAAATCAGGGGGTCAGTATTAACTAGTCTTATTATACCGTTTTTTACAAACACATTTACCAAACTCAACCATCTACCTATAAGAGTTATCATTTCCCTGTACTCTTTCTCTGATAACAAGCTAATTCCTGGAACTGAGGGCACTTGTGAGATAAGTGTTTGTTATTAAGTGCTGGGTAGCTTGATAACTGCTCACCTATCCAAAAAGGTGCATGAAAAATAACTTGAGAACCAAGCACATCTATGCAGACTTCGCAGCAATGTACCACACATGTTATGCTATATGATGACACTGCCTGGTTGCTCGAACGTCGAGAGATGGTGAGTTCGAGCGTGACAAACAATGAACATACTTCGTATAACAGTGAGTATCATTTAATTGTGTTAAACCCATATGAAGACGCTCAGTGATTAAGCTATTATTTAAAATGATAGGACATTCAAACAGAACTAGGTATTTCTCTAAAGTTTTGGAACGCCTCACTACTAACATTAAAATAATGATGGTTAAAAGTGGTCTTTCTAATTAACACAAACGTGCTACGAAGCCCACAATAGTATTTAAGACTTAAGTTGAGGTCAAGAAGAACATCTATGAATAGAGAGCTCAAACAGTGAAATAAGGCAAAATACAAGCTTTTACCATTTCAAAAAGTTGATGAAAGGACTGTTGAAGATACGCAATGCAAAGTGTAGCAAACTGCATTTTAAAATTATCGAAACAAAGGCAGTTAAAGTGAGATTAGTTGGTTCAGTATTTTTAATATATTTATGCGTTGAAGTTTCTGTAGCAATTTGGTTAAGTTTTGGGGGTGGAGTTGCTAGCACCACGCCCCCTTTGTAGCCGGGCTTGAGACCGGCTAAAAAACTAGCGAGCGAGTAATCTAGGCGAGTCACAAAGAATATTTCCAACAGCCTGTTGCAAACTTTCATCAACAACTGTCTTCGCTGGCTCTATACTGAAGATCAGATGGCCGGGTCGGAAACAATCACCAACAAGAAATTGTGGGAACAAACAAAACAAGAACCACTCGCCCAACAAATATGCAGGAGAAAGTGGAGATGGATCGGACACTCGCTGAGTGAGGAGGCCGCTGGGTGACATCGCGCGCGCGTTAGGCCATTGCTCGAGTGGGACCAGGCCGAAAGGGAAGCGGCGAGTGGGACGTCAGTGCAAGGGTGACATGGAGGAGATAGTGTGAAGAGGGGTCGAAACAGTATGGACTAACATGGATGCAGGTGGAGAGTACAGCAGAAGAGAGAATCAAGTGGAGATGTGCAGTTGAAGCCCTATGTTCCACTAAGAACCCAAAGGAACAATAGTAATGATAGTTGGTTCAAGTAATAACATGAAGAACAAATTCAAGACTGAAAGTACTATAAAGAACTAGTTAGTTCCCACTATCAGAATCAACTACCGGATGATAATTCTTCGTCGTTTAGAAATCTGAAGTCCCCACATATTGGGTATGGCGATTCTGGGACCATATCCAATGACATATGTTTCTGTAACCAAGTTACGACTCCTTCCAATATTAATATTGAGAGGTGTTTGTCGGTAATTAGCAAAAAAAAACATCGTACAAGTAGACTTCATATGTTCCTGACGTAGAACTTGTTACACTGACGCGAATGGAAAGTGTCTCAAATCAATAATTCCATCAATAGCGATCAACCGACAACGAATATGAAATGTATGTGTATCCTTCGCACGCAATATACTTGCGATTGTATGGCTATATCATTAATTCGAAACAACCGAATTAACGATAACAACGCAAGAGTTAGTGGATTTCCCAAGATTTATAACTCACATCCGATGTCACCGACAATATAGTTAACCTACCCAACTTCACAGTGCATAGGGCAACTTTACGCTTAGTTATCCTAATCTTCCATTCATTGGTCTGTGTCAAAGGGTCGAAAACATTGTCCCCCATGGATAAACCGACAGATTTATAGATTACTCAAGCGCAAGCTTATATGCTGCAACCTGTTTATCACATTTGAGAATTCTGAAGTCAGAAAGTCGTATATTGTTGCCGGGCATAAATCTATAGCAAAAATCTGACATTTAATAATGAAGTTCGTAATGCAATGGCACAAATTAAGAAAACCATTTTCATACACAAACTTCAGGAATAAGATATCCAATAGTGTCTCAAACCTGAATATAGACAATGACACAATCGAAGATCAAGAAAAAGCAGAAGCAATCGCAGACCACTCTGCCAAAGTCTATACACAGGAGTCGTCGCTCTCCATAGGATCAGGGGGATCTACTATTCACTATCATCTTTGCGAAACAGGGGGCTCGTTTCGCATTTGCCAGTTTACGCCGACTCTGGCGTAGACGAGATGCTCGACTATTGACCAAAGGGCGGGTGTATTGCTCATCAGTTCGCTCCGTCCTCCTTTATGGTTGTGAGACCTGGCCACTCAGAGTGGAAGACATGAAAAGACTAGCTGTCTTTGATCATAGGTGCCTGCTCTCTATTTCCCGTGTAAAGTGGCATAATAAGGTGAGCAACATGGAGGTTAGGCGCAGAGTTCTACGTAAACAGGGGAAATCAATCGACGAAGTCATGAACTTACAAAGACTCAGATGGTTAGGACATGTGTTACGTATGCCACGCCATCGCCTCCCTCGACGAGCAATGTTAGCGGATATAGGGTCAGGCTGGAAAAAAGCTAGCGGTGGTCAAACAAAAACTTGGCACCAGTCAATGAAATCCACAACAGTTGGTCTAAGCCACGTAGGAAGGTGTAGACTTCCAGGCTGGGGTCCTCGGGACGGTAAAAATCTATGGTTGGAAACAATTGGTGACATGGCTCAAAATCGTTCTGTGGCGCAGATGCATCCACTCCTTGTGACCTATGATCTCCAATGAAACTGTTCTGTTTTTCTTTATTACTCCTTTGTCTCACACCTCTACTCACTGTTTCTATTATGCTTTTCTTGTACTTTCTTCTCTTGCTTCGCGTGCTACACGGAGTGTGGCGACTTGAACTGGTGCACATGTGTGCAAAGTTCTATGTCGAAAACAGACAGATAGGATCAGCTCTGGCTGCACCAGAGGTACACAGGGCAGATTCCTCTGACGTCGACCAAGACATCGTGCTCAACAGCCTAATGAAACTAGATGCAGGGAAGTCAATGGGATCTGATAACCTTCATCCGCTTTCTCAAGGAGCTATCGGCTCATATAACCTGTCTACTGACTATGATTTTCAAGCTATCTCTCCTGAATGAAGTGTTACCACGTGACTGGAAAGACACCAACCACAAAAGAGGATGGAGACAATATCCTTCAAACTACAGGCCTATTAGTCTCATCAACGTCTTAATAGATATACTGGGAAGAAATATCAAAGAAGCTACCATGGCATATCTGGAAAACAACAACTTGTTGTCCAGACCACAGTATGGCTTTCGGGGAGACTTCTCATACCCGACTAACCTCCTTATGGCAAGGGAAAGCTGAGTCAAATCAAGGGACAAAAGGAGACCCGTTGACGTCGTCTTCATAGACTTCAGAAAAGCCTCCGATAAAGTTCCTCACAAAAGACTATTCATGGAGTTAGAAAGTCTCGGTATCAAAGGCAGATTACTAAACTGGCGGGGGGAATCCCTCATAGATAGGAGGCAGATGGTTATGACCAACTCGAAACCCGCCTCCTGAACAGCAGTGCGTAGCGGAGTGCCACAAGACACCGTACTCGCTCGCCCCCTCCCTCGACTTATTCATCTTTTATATCAATGAGTTGCCCATGGTCACCGAATCTCCTATGGTCCTCTACCCACATTTGGAGAGGGCTGAAGTGCAACGATGATACACTCATGTTGCGAAAGAACCTGGACAAATTGTCAGAGTAGTCCAAATAATAGACTCACCCGACCAATGTAAAGAAATCACAACTGTGCAAACTGGACACACAAACGTCAGCTCGTACGAACTAGAGAGAATAACACTCCCATCAGCTCAGATTCATAGGGATCTAGGTGTTATAATAAATCACGACTTAAAAATTACAGCACCCTATCGAGCGTTGGGAGCTCGTAGTTCGAGTGCTTTTTGGACAATACGTAGAGCAGTCACGATAAACTTTAAGCACCAGTAAGTACCACCGTGTAATTGCACCAATAACCTTAAAGCGCCCGCTGAATAAGTTAGAGAAACCTAAGCAATTAAAACTATCATCGTGAGATAATTGGTAAGTTCCAGGATGAGGCTTAGATGTTAGAGTTAGTTTAACCTCAAAGGAGCGACATTAGGGTTGGTTCGAATTAGAATAGATCTTGTTTAGAAATATTTTCATGCTAGGATTAGGCTAATGAAAGATTAGGATTATTGTTAGCGTTTGAAGGCCTAGATAATTACATGCACAGAGAGTAGTTATATTACTCTGTTGATACCCCAATCTGAAACAGAGGTACTTTTGTCACATACCAAAGACAGTTACCCTGTGTAACAGTTTTATGCCTTTTTATTCATTATTTTCATGAATATACGTATTATATAAGCGAAAAATGGCCTTTATTATGTGATTGGTATGTTTAAAGTCATTTGTTTGTTGGTTATTACTAGTGTTTGAAGTTTAGCTCCACCGATGAAGGCCTGAACAAGCATAGAAATATACTTGAAAAGGACTAACATAGACTCCGAACCTTTTATCCTCAACCAACAAACTTGAATTAGAACCTTTACCTTCCCGCCTTAGCCTGTGATCCGAAAGTCACCGCGAACAAGGTCGAAATTAAATAGTCTCAATATACATAACGAAACTTAGTCTTTAATATAGTGGCTGTTGCTCGTAAGATACAATCACTTTGTCGTCCATGTGGCTCAAAACAGTCTTCAGACATTTAGCTTCAAAGAGTGATTAGTTATTGAAATTTTTCTTTATGCATAATAAGTGGGGAAATTATTTCAGATTTATTGGTTGAGGGTAGAAAGCCCAGAATCTACACTAATCCTTTCCTAGTAGATTCCTGTGGTTGTCCATACCCTTCTTGAATCAATCAGTTGAGGTTGCAGACACCACTTCTTCTGGGAGTCGGTTCCAGGAGTTTATGACTCGGTTTGAAGACCAGTACTCAATAGCAATATGACTTCTTGGCTTTTCAACACCCCTTCTATGTGCTCTAAGGTGTTCCGACGTGATGGGAAGGAAAAGAGAGAATAAGTTAGGTCCGTAGTCATCATCTGAATTTTCAAACATTGTGATTAAATCTCTCTGCCTATGGTATGACAGGCAAAATAGATTTAAACTGACTAGTCTTTCCTAAATATTCATGCTGAGAACCATACGAGTTGCCTTTATTCAGACCCTTTTTTAGAATCTGTGAGCCCTCTTTATGACAGTGACCCGCTATATGGATACAGTTTTCTAGCCTTGACCTCACCAGAGGTGTATGTATGGAGGTGATTCTAGTAAGGGCTCTGCGAATTGTCCATAAAAGTCTGAAACTACGTCCAGCCACTACGCAACAGTGTGGTAGAGTTTTTAAATGGTGACTTACAATGACACCTAAATTCAAATGAGTCTGAAGTGATGGGAGTGTTACTCTCTCTAGTTCGTATGAGCGGATGCTTGCTTGTCTTATGTGCATGGTTGCACATTTCGCTACATTGATCGGGAGCATACATTCTCTGGACCACTCTGACAGTTTGTTAAGGCCCTCTTGCAACGTGAGTGTATTACTGTTGCCCTTCAGCTCTCGCCAAAGTTTTCAGTCATATGATTGGAGGACCATAGTAGATTCGGTGACCATGGGCAACTCATTGATATACAATATGAATAAGTCGAGGGAGGGGGCGAGCGAGTACGGTGTCTTGTGGCACTCCGCTACGCACTGTTGTCCAGGAGGAGAGTTTCGAGGTGATCCTTACTCTTCCCTAATCCAGTTAAATAAACTGTCCTTGATACTGAAACTTTCTAACTCCATGAATAGTCTTTTGTGAGGAACTTTATCGGAGGCTTTTCTGAAGTCTATGAAGACGACGTCAACGGGTCTCCTTTTGTCCCTTGATTTGACTCAGCTTTCCCTTGCCATAAGGAGGTTAGTCGGGTATGAGAAGTCTCCCCGAAAGCCATACTGTGGTCTGGACAACAAGTTGTTGTTTTCCAGATATGCCATGGTAGCTTCTTTGATATTTCTTCCCAGTATATCTATTAAGACGTTGATGAGACTAATAGGCCTGTAGTTTGAAGGATATTGTCTCCATCCTCTTTTGTGGTTGGTGTCTTTCCAGTCACGTGGTAACACTTCATTCAGGAGAGATAGCTTGAAAATCATAGTCAGTAGACAGGTTATATGAGCCGATAGCTCCTTGAGAAAGCGGATGAAGGTTATCAGATCCCATTGACTTCCCTGCATCTAGTTTCATTAGGCTGTTGAGCACGATGTCTTGGTCGACGTCAGAGGAATCTGCCCTGTGTACCTCTGGTGCAGCCAGAGCTGATCCTATGGAGAGCGACGACTCCTGTGTATAGACTTTGGCAGAGTGGTCTGCGATTGCTTCTGCTTTTTCTTGATCTTCGATTGTGTCATTGAACCTTTTTATATGCATTTCTCGGCATCAATTTGTTCATAATATTTAGAGGTGGTTATTCATTTCGTTTTGAATGTGTGCGGTGCGATAAACACCTTACATGGGTCCACTAGATATGTATCGCTTAATATTTGAAAGCGAAAGCACTCAACTACAAACTTTTATCAGGTTAGATGTGCGGCACATTTATTCACTACAGCCAATATCAATTAAGAGGACCTATATTTTGCAATTAGATTCATGGAGCCTTGTAATTACTGCCATCTGACCTCTGGGGCAATGCGGTCATGGGTTAAAATGTGGATCACATTCCTCGCAAAGAGGTTATCAATGCCGTCATGGAGCTTATGCCTAAGCTGGTTTCAATACCCTCGAGTTCAAGAACCGTTTGTTGGTCGAGACTCTTATGGACACGCAGATAATCCTAGACCGTGCACCAAGCACAAAACTTCCAATCGATTACCTGGTATATTCACACCATAGGCAGTCACAAATGATTCGGTAGGACGAAAGTGAATGATGACTCTAGAAAACTAGCTAGAGAGTGGCTGTTTGGGTGACGAAGACTAAACAATGGAAAGAAAATTCGCTGTAGAAATTAGGTGATATACAAGCAGGGGCACACCCCACATTGACTGTAGTCAAAGCAATCATTGCTGCCACGCCGAAATGTGATAGGAAGCTTGTAGTCAGAGTAATATTTGACAAGCGGTCAGCGAATTCTAATCAGGTTATGCGTAAACTGAATGAGTCCATCACCTCCGACCAATCAGATAACACTACTGGGACTCAGATTCCTTTGAAATGCCCTAGGTGTGACAGTGAGAAAACCAAACAGCACAACCAGTAACAGTCCAAGTAGTACACACTTCTTAATGCCGAACGAAGGTTATATGATCTTTAAATTAAGTCGCTTACCAAGATACGGGAATTTGGTGGAACAGATGCGTCCTCCAGACCAGAGTAGTCTTTGTGGGGAAGAAGTGCCGACTCAACCGGAAGCTAGACACAAAGGCGGATAGCCCGTTTTGAAACTTATAGGTTTTCTAGTAGTCAGGCCATAGAGGCGCTTGTTTCCAGCATCTTTGTGGACAGTCTGGACCTGGAAACTGCCTAGGGTAATTTGTACCAATATGTGTGATGCCATTAATTAATTCCATGAGTTAGGAGCATTATTAGGTAGTAGTAGTAGCTAAGTCTAGCCGTCAGCGAAACAGACTTTGCCAGCGATTTGTATGAACTCCTGAAGTGCCATACTTATTTGTGTGTAGACAGAGTCAGTGGTTCGGGGAGCGGCTGGGTATTTCCACACATTAAAAATGCCATTTACAATCTCTCCTGGATATCTATAGCACACAACAGCAGTTCATGCAAGCCGGTTAATCTAGGATTCATCTGTGCAGGCTTGCAGGGTCTATCACGTTTTTCGCTGTGATCGCTTACAGTTAGCGAATTAAGAATTCAAAAGGATGACACAATTTTTCGAGTAGGCATTACGTCTCATCTACTGAACAGTATTAAGTGCTTAGTGCCCTTGAGCGCGTTTGGCTCCAGTTTCCCGTCCCTCTTTCCCTCCACTGGACTTGCTAGGTGCGTGTTTGATAGCTACTATCTTCTCTATTCGCATAGGCTATCGTCTGACGGTTTTGGTAATAACTGCAACTCGCGACCTACCTATTACAATGACTTTAGTACTTATTTTCAAAGGCGTTTGTCTAGATACCTCAATTAAAAACTGATACGACGTTGGGTTTACGATAAAATGTTTCACCAGCGTAACTGCAGTAAATGACTCACTGAAACCGTACCAGTGAAATAGTCCTAACGTACTCGGAATTCGAAATCTGAGGATTTACTCGTCACGCAAAACTGTCTAAGGACGTGAAAATTTGCTTTCTGTATGAAGCTTAACCTTGAAATTGCATTACATAGGTCACAGTATACTGGTGAAAATATAACAGCAGATAGAGACACATGCTACAGATGTTACTGTATTTTAAAACTATACAACTAAATACACCCACAGCTGCTCGTAAAACCTAATATTAATCATGCAAGTGCACATTTGTGTAGAACAAACCACTATTACTGAATACTGAACGAAATTATGACTACTACCCCATAGAAAATGTACTATTACAGCCGAATAGAGACATGAGTTCACGCAATTCAACATTATAAGCAAATCAAATGTTCAAACTGTTGCAGTCGAAGTTAATTAAAGCTGAGACGTTTAACGCCGCTAAATTCCTCTCTGAAAAGTACATTACATACCTTTGCTTTTGCGGTTATCTGGCTTCCAAATGAAAAAGACTTAGTGGCTTTACGATATTACGGTTGGTTAACAACGCCTTGATTCAAGCAATTGATAAAAACAACATCTGAAGATGGAAAACAATATTGTCTAATCCTCATAAGGATGAAAAGTAGAGTTTAAACATTTGATAGCACAGTGCTGCAGATCCACAATCTATCAGCAGTAAATATTGACAGTGCAGAGATTTATTTTCACGATCTAAAGACCCAGGTGAAAGTTGCTTTTACTCTCTTCGGGCTGCAGGAATTCTTATTTCGCGAAATACTCTAACAGTTCTCATGACTATAACTCTGTATCAACTGGCTCAGAGGTCACTGTTTAAACAAATTAACCCTTTGGATGTGAATTAAATGCTGAGTTGAAGAACCTTAAGATTAAGGGTTTTCGGGTTGTCCGAGTTCGCAGTTTAATGATCCCGAAACCTCTGTGGGTGGGCCGGGGAAGCACCAATCTGAATTAACAGTCTGCTACACAAACGCCCGCAGCCTGTTAAATAAAAGGACTGAGCTGGCAAACATGATAGAAACCGGAAACCCGGATGTAATTATTATCACAGAGACATGGCTCACACCCGATGTCACTGACAACGAAGTTAACCTGCCAAACTTCGAAGTGCACAGGGTAGACCGACTAAACCGCAAAGGAGGGGGCGTAGTCATCTACCTCAAGAAAGGCTTAACCGTGCGTAGTATCGAAGCACTCGCCCACGAAAGTGAGTCGTGCGAACTTCTACGCTGCAGACTTAAATGCATAGGCCAAGACATTGACCTCATTGCTGTGTACCGCAGTCCTGACTGCAGTGCAGACGACTTCCTAATAGAGAAGCTAGGCTCCTGGACTTCAAAATGTCGAAGTCTCGTAGTCGGTGACTTCAACGC